TCCTGTGGTGCCCAATTCTGTAAGCACACGGGATTGGAAGAGGAGCAAAGTCTGAATTGCTCAAAGTGCATGGAGCCAGATGTTATGTAAAATTGTAAGCAGAGGATATGATTTAAATGGGTACCCAATAAAAATGGAAGTTTTTCCTGCCAGGAATGACCAAAAACATAGTGTATACTATAATGAATGCATCATAATATTATTACTTGACCAAAGTTAATGCAGCCAAAATAGCATAGCTGAAAATGATTAATAATACATATTTGGTATTTGAGTAATCATGTTACCTTCTTTCTCTGGATTGTATACAATTTGAACTTAAAAATTTTTATTTATTTATTCAAAAGGCAAAGTACTCAGACAATAGGTGTCAGAGAATGACCAATCTAAGGAGAGAAAGAGAGATCTTTCATCTGCTGGTTCACTCCCTCAGTGGCTGCAATGCTCAAAGCTGAGCTGATCTGAAGCCAGGAGCAGGAGCTTTTTCTGGGTCTCTTATGTGGATACAGGAGCCCAAGCTCTTGGGCCATGCTCCAACTGTTTTCCCACGCACATTAGCAGGGAGCTAGAATAAAAGTAGAGCAGCCAAAATCAGAGCTGGTACCTATATGGGATACCAACATTGTAGGCAGCTGCTTAACTCACTATGCCTCAATGACAGTCTGAATTTTTGAAATGTGTAATTTTTTATGTTTTATTTTTATATCCTGAAATATTTTTATTTGGCATCATTCTTTTTCTTTTAAAAAGAGACGTTCTCAAAGTGGTTAGGCTTTTGATAAAAATTTGGATGTAACCTTAGAGGGACACCTAAGCTACTGCCAGAAGCCAAGGTAAATTTTCCTGAGAAACAGCATCAACATTGATCCCAGGTGATGGGAATGAGTGGCAGACACAGCAGAGTGGGAAAGGATGGGAGGAGAAAGAGTGTGTAAGTGTCAGGAGCGACTACTATTGGAGCGTTGGTGTCTACCAGAAACTAAGAGTAAACCATGAGAGGAAACAGCAGAAGTCATGGTATGCATTTAAGCTCTTTGATTTCAATAAAATTTTAAAAAAGTACAATCGGTATGAATTTTAACCATATATTCAAGAGTAAAAGTAATCTTTTGTTTACATACCACTTCCCATCCCTATGCACAGCTTGATGAATGGAGATTGAGGGAAATTCAGCATTAATAATTTTTAATGCCCTCTCTCCTCCCATGTCAGGACCATGAATTCTCATGGCCAAGGTGAGCCACAGACCTTTGGGAATATCTCTCTGATTTTCAGCTCAGAATGTTTAGTATTTTCTTGCTGGGCTTGTTCCATTTAAGTGTTCCCTCTCAAATCTGCACCATGTTTGAAATCAACAGTCAAGCTTGATGAGCAGTGTTGCGAGTTGACCAAATCTATCCCCCAAAATAAGTCACGGGCAAACTCTTAGAAGCTCACGAGTCTTTATTCATCAGCAGGTGCAGACTGGTAGACTGCCCCATTCTACCACATGTGGGCGAGAAGAGCAGTCCTCATCAGCCCTGTTCAGGGTTTTTAAGTAACAATCATCCAATCAACTAGGCAAACATTGGTATATGGTAGGAACCGTCCAATCAAATACAGTGGTGCAGAACATGGCTATCCAATTACTTTAAACTTTGTGCACCCTAAACTATCCATTCAGTAAGAGCTGCAGCCCACTTAGTAGAAACAGCAGGACCAAGCAAATAGGTCCTTCCAATTTGGATCAATCAGCACAGTGCCTGAGCTGTAAAAGAAAAGGTCTGATCCGGAATGAGATAAGCACTTTCACTTCTCTTTTGGAACTTTCCAAGAATCTGAGGTTATGGCAAAGATCAGGTTATGCACATGTCCCAGAAGTGTTTCAGGAGACCTGGCCTTACTGTAGCCATTTTCTATTGTTTAGGTTGACACAGGCAGGAACCAATATGACTAAATGTATGAGGCATGAGGCTACTTCAAAAATTTGTGGGAAAATGCTGCTAAACTACATTCAATTTTGTGCAAAAAAAAAAAAAAGGAAATTTATGCATGGTTACACATTTCTGTAAAATGTTTGAAGACTCCTCAAACTGTTCGGCCAGCCACTTTGACAGCTACATAGAACTCACCCCTAAAAGTGTTAGGAGGAGTTGCTACTCCCAAACTGGACTTTCTTGCTGACACACAGATGTCAGTGTGGTGAAAGAAAGTTGTTTGTTGCAGGGTACAGAGCCAGGAGCTAGGCTATCACCTAATTCCCACACTCACCAAGGAATTATATATGATGCCCCTTAGGGCTTGGTATGAGGTGTTGGCTGTTCAGTTTGTGTCTGGTTTCTGGTTGGTTGGTGGTATTCATGGCCTCTGTTTAACTGGTCAGTGATAACAGGCTTTAGTATATTTTGTATGTGCTAGTCATATGGCCTTCTCTCAGTCTGGAGGCTATGGGCAGGGAGTAGTTATTTTTGGTTCCAGTAACTGGAATTCTTCAAAAGAAAGGCTGGAGACAATATTGATCATCAAGATGGCTCAGACACCACCGTGCATGGATAGCATCAAGATGCTACCTACTGGACAAGAAAATGCCCTCATGGTTCTGGTGGATAAAGCCTGCTAGGACCAGCTCCACCACTCAATTTATTGTGTTGATTTGCTACCAAAAGCCATGGCAAAGACACTTGATGTGAATATGAGGACACGGACAGTTAGGCTCTCTGGTCCCTGGTGACATTACCTTTGTGAAATATTAAACCTTGCTTCTCCCCGTCGCTTACCCTTTCAAAGGCGTGTTCTCCTGAGCTTCAACCCCCGACACCTTGAGGGAGAAAAAGAGACAGGATCAACAGACCAGTTCCTATCTCTTAGAGTGATAGCCATGACAAAGGCAAGGAAATACCATGAAACAACCTCCATCTCTGAGTTACTGCCAGGGAGATGGTGCCCGAGCTTCCAGCTAGTCGTTAAGGACAGGAGGAAGAAACCACCAGACATACTTTTATGATGTTCATTCAGTCGTGAGCAAAGTGCTAGACATTGTGGAATGAGGGTTTCTTTTTTTCCTGCCATTCGAGCAACTCATTCCTTCCCCCTCTTAGAAATAGTGCTTAAAACCTTAACCCACCCACAAATGTTTGGGTCTTTCCTCCCTCGGATCCCCCTCTTGTCACTATAGCAGAAGTCTTCTTTCTCACTCCTTCTTAAAGAAATCTTGCCTTGCACACTAAAGTTGTCCATGTGAAGATTCTTCTTTTGTATGAGACAAGAAATGAGGCTGCTGCTGTCTCGTGTGTTATATTCCTAACTGCAGCACTAAGGGGGGAGGCTGGGAGCCTATGAATGGATGGCCTGTAGTTTACCTTCAAGGCACTGTTTGTGGGCTCTGTAAAACCTTCACTTCTTCCTTTTCTTCCCTTGTCCAATATTGTGGCTATGGCAGGCAGAATCAAGACAATCCCCACTCACACTTCGCCTGGTACTCTCTGTCCTTGAGCCTGGATGGAAATGGACTTGCTTTCTAGTCAACAAAAGTGGCAAAAGGGAAGAAATTTTTTTCAGACAACCTTAAGGTCCCAAGCCAGTTAATTTTTAGTGAATCAAGAGGAGATCAGGATTGTAGGCAATTCTGTGAAACAGAATCTTCAGAGGTAGTATCTATAGTGAGGGGAGAGTCCCGTGTAGTTGAGGTAGCCATTGGTCAAGAATTAGGAATGGAGCCAGCATTGTGGTTCAGCAGGTAAAGCTGTTACCTGTGATGCTGGCACCCACTGTGGTCAATGGTTTGAGTCCCAGCTGCTCCACTTCCATCCAGCTTCCGGCTAATGTGCCTGAGAAAGCAGTGCAGGATGTGGGACGCCTGGAAAAGCTCCTGGCTTCCAGCTGGAAGTGAACCAGTGGCTGGAAGAGCCTCTCTGTCTCTCCCCCTCTTCCTCTGTAACTCTGCTTTTCAAAGAATATATATATATATTTTTTTTCAGTTTAAAGGTTTTTTTTTCTTTCAATTTTACTTTTCGCTATAAAGTTCTATAGCTCAGGAATTTCCCCTTTCATTTTCTCCATTCTTCTGAAGCCCTCTACTTCCCCCCATATTATTGCAGTAGTTTAGTTCTTTAGCAGCATTCTGCTAAGATTTACTTAAATAAATCTTAGGGGGGAAAAAAAAAGACATGGTAGTAACTCATTTTGGTTGAGAGACAGGCATGTTTGGTATTTTAAGGGTGACACTGAACTTTGCAAACTGATAAATAGTTCAGGTCTGATAGGAGAGTAGGAAGGCTCCTTGGTGAGCTCTGGGCTGGGATCTGAATGTCGGCGACTACTTTTATTTCTCTCCCACCACTTGCGAAATGTGTTATGCTAAAATCAACCCAGCTTGGAACTTCACAAACATTTCCTTTCCTTTCCTTCACGACAATCCTGAGTTAAGGCTGAACATTCTTGGATGAGGTGAGCTTGGGCCCCAGGCTGTTCCACCACCCAGAGATGGACGCTGCTGTCCCAGAGTGTCTGTATTTGCGTTTGGCGCCTGTGCGGCTCGCCCCCTGGCGAGGCTGGCCCCGACCCGAGCCCCGCGGCGCTGGGCGCCAGAGTGCCCGGCAACCAGTCGGCGCTCCGGAAGGCTGCCGCCGGGTCTGGGAAAAGTGAGCTTCAATCCCGTGACATTATTATGGCGACAACCGGTAACCGAGCGTCACACACACCTTGAACTGAAACATGCACTTAAACAAAAACACATTAGAAAAAAAAAAAAGCATCAGCACTCGTGGACAGCGTGGAGCCGCGCGTTTCTGTCATCTGCGCGCCCTTAGATGTCGCAGAGGTCCGTGTGTCCACCCCCATTTGGTATTCACGCAACCAGTCTGGGTCCTGGAGAACCAGAACAAAGCAACGGGAAAGCTGAGCGAGGGTACGTGCAGGGGCGCGTGCCAGGTTAGTCCCAAGCGGGCCAGAGCCGTGGATCCCAGCTCCCCGCCCAGCCCCGGAACTTTGCTCTTCCTGGCCCGCCCCCTGTGGCTGCTGCTTTCCGGCCAAAGTTCCGACGGCGACATGGCCTCCTGGCGCCTGATTTTCTCTACCGGGGCGTCCCGGCTGCCCTGCAGCCTCGCTCCTCGGCGGGTAAGGCAGCTCCGGAGGGGCAGGAGGTGGAGCTCGCTCCTCGCCAACGCCTGGCCCGAGCTGGCTGGGAGCTCACGAGGAGGGAGGACCAGGGTCCCAAGCTCCAGGAGACCAGGGACCAGGGACCCCGGGGGCGCCCGGGGAGAGGGGACAGGAGTACAGAGGCGCGGGCTGAGGGGATGGTGAGAAGACGGGGCGCCTTGCAGCCCCGCGGAACGTCCCTGGGACCGGAGGGCAGGCGGGCACAAAGCTGCCAGGGGTCTAACTCCACAGTCAGAAGAAGCCTGTGTGTGAAGGAGGGAGGAGAGCATGGGACCGGGGGCGGAGGGGGGATGGGGAGTGGGGGGACAGGGCTTGGAGGTTTTCACACCCTTGCAAGTTTCGAACCGAATACAAGTTCACATAAAAGTGAAAGTTTCACTTAAAAAGGAAATAAAACCAGAAAAAAAAAAAGTGAGCTGTCTACGAAGTCCCCTTTGTAGCCTACAAAATCTCGCTGGCCCTCACTGATTTCCCAGTGCTTCTTTCTCTTAAGTTTATCAAGGTGCCTTTATAGGTTCTGTTATTCTAAACCGGACAGCTGGGAAAGGGCTCAGAGAAAACGTTAAGAAAGGCCCAGAATCCTGACCTTTGCACTGTGAGCTGAGGCCAGTGTGCCGGTAGGTTCAGGGATTTCCCTTCCCACCCTCCCCAGGTGTTTGATGGGGGAAGAAGAGGGGAGAACGATGTCAGCCCTGTAGCACTGAGGGGGATCTGTGACCCCGAAACTGACTAGAGTTAGTTCAGTTAGAAAGGTGGACGTGTGAGTGCTCATTCTCTCTGGAAGTATCAGGGAAGGTGGGAGAGCATTTCTGCTTCTAAGATTTATTTACCTTTTTTTGAAAGGCAGATTATACAAAACGAGATTTTACAAATTTTGGACCGGTTCACCTCCCAGATGGCTGCAGTGGCTTGGAGCTGAGCTTATCTGAAGTCAAGAGCCAGGAGCTTCTTCCAGGTCTCCCACATGGGTGCAGGAGCCCAAGGACTTGAGCCATTCTCTGCTGTCTTCCAGGTCATAAGCATAGAGCTGGATGGGAAGTGGAGCAGCTGGGACTGGAACCGGCACCCATATGGGATGCTGGGGCCACAGGTCGAAGGCTCAGCATGCCATGCCACCACACCTACTCTGGTGGCAGTGTTTTTAAGGGTGGGGTAAAGAGATGGTATTGAACAATTTGTGGAAAGGTAAGGTGAGAGGAGGTAGTTTGTGTTCAGGAAGGGAGATGAGGCAGGAGAGAGGGACAAAAGAGTGTGCTGTGTGGAGTTAAAAGAATTGGGAATTTTGGGACATGGCACGGTAACCTAGCGGCTAAAGTCCTTGCCTTGCATGCGCTGGGATCCCATATGGGCGCCGGTTCTAATCTCAGCAGCCCCACCTCCCATCCAGCTCCCTGCTTGTGGCCTGGGAAGGCAGTTGACGACAGCCCAAAACTTTGGGACCCTGCACCTGCATGGGAGACCCGAAGAGGCTCAGGGCTCCTGTTTTCAAATTGTCTCAGCTCCACTCATTGCTGAATCAGTGGACTGGAGTGAATCAATGGATGGAAGATCTTCCTCTCTCTGTCTCTCCTCTTATCTGTATATGACTTTCCAGTAAAGATAAATCTTAAAAAAACAAGAATCGGGACTTTGGGCAGCTCACAGGTGCCTTTGGGGGAATCCTACTTCAAAACTGCGTTTCTTAGAGCATGTTAGCTATCATCACGTGAGTATTCCCCAGTCCTGCTACAAGCTGCCATTCCAGTGCAGATCCTGCCGGCCCATCTCCTTTGGATCTTTTCATCTCAACTCAGTCATGTAGGTAAAGTATTTCACCCATGCAGTCACTTAAACTGGAAGACAGCCATCTTCAACTCCTCACTGACTTGTTCCTAGTTGGCACAGGTCAACTCCTATATTACACAAGTTGTCCCCTTTTAGTTTTGTCATCTTTGGGGTCTCTAAGACCAGTGTCTGCTTATCAGACAGCTCTACATTTCCTTTTTGTGTCTTACGACGAACTTGAACTCTTTCTGGAGCACAAAGACATTGCGGCAGTCACTGTGGTCGTGGGGTGAAGGTGAGAGGTGTGAAGAAACTCAATCGGACGAACAAGATCTCAGTAAATAGGAGATCTGTTTTATTTGCTTTTAGTGAAATAGGTCAAAGTGTGATGAGGCGAGAAGATGGAATCAGATCAAGCAATAGTAGACAGAGTGATGACTCACGGCGTTCTGACTTTTGGGGACCCTCATGCTTGGCAGATAATTGGATTTGCTAACTTTCTACCACTTCTGATAACAGACATCCTCTTGACTTAAGCCATCATCATCTTTTGGGTAGTTTGCCGCACAAGTGTCTGAACCGGAATCTCTTGTTTTTAGCCTTGGCCTTTGTAGCATAGCAGCTGGAGCAATCCTTGAAGTGCTTCTGGCAAATGATGTCAATCTTCTGCTCAAAACTTGGTCCATTTCCCATTCAGAATGAAAGCATGTCTCTGCAGAGTGGCCCACCCAGCCTGCAATTTCCAGTCCCCTCTGCCTCCCTGACCTCTCCTCCCACATGTCTTCCTGCCTCCTGTGCCAGCCACATTGGCCTCCTGCTTGATTACCCTATGAACTGGCTTGCTCCCTTCACTCTCTGCCTGCAACCTTTGCTCTGCTTTCCCCTTGGCCTGAAACCATGTAACTTGTCCTTCACCTCCTCCAGGACTTTGCTTAAATGGCACTTTCTCAGGGAGGCCACTGCTGACCATTTTACTCAAAGTAGCAATTTTTGCCTCTCTCCTATGCCTTGATTTTCTCCACAGTCCAGCTCATTATCTACTGTCTATGTCATTCAATTTGTTTGCACCTTGTCCGCCTTAAATCATTCTGGAAGGTAGAATTCGATATCTGTTCTGTTCGCTGCTGTCTTGCCATTGTCTAGAACAGTGCCTGCTTGGGGCAGAGTAATAAGCAGTCATAATGCCATTTTATTTTGAATTTCTAGTACTTTTTCATGCTAGCAACACCTTGAATCAAAGCAAACCGTTGGCAAGAGCACAGGGATCTGATTTTCCTAATCAAAACAATTAGTCATGTTAGTTTTGCCTGATGAGATAGAGAATCAAAAAAAACATGACACCTCTGAGAGATGGACAGGATCGAAGACCACAGTTAAAAACTTCAAGTTGCTCCTAATTTGTCTTTGATTTTGTCTCCCTTTGTTGTATAATGTTTGGGAAATACCTGGCTCTTAACTGTGGACACATAAGAACTGTATTAAGAATGAGAAATAATATCCTGTGGTACAAGGCAGCTACTTTATCGAGCACTCATGTCCACTGGTATAACATGTATTGTTACTCAAAAGTATAATTTCTGTTTTGCTGCTGGCAGTTGCCTACTTCAGCTTAGCTATTGGAGCTTAGAATACAGTAAGCACTTTCTTTTGTATCTGCTCAGCTTTACCTTTGAGTTGCTGTGGCAACAAGATCTGTGCTCTGCCGAAGCTCAGAATAGCTGTGGCCTCTGTCCAATGTCTTGCTTTAAGTTCAGGAGCAGCTAGAGATGCTGACGTGATATGTAAATGCATAGAATATGAACCGAACACACATGTAAAAGCAAAGAGTATGAACCTTACAAGGCCTGTGGCAAGCCATGTATGGGGTAGAATTGAAACACTTTAAAACTTTCTTCTTCTTTTTTTTTTTTTTTTGTAGAGGTGGGCAGCTTGCTAGTCTAGTGACTAAAGTCCTCATCTTGCCTGTGCCAGGATCACATATGGGCACTAGTTCATGTCCTGGCTGTTCCATTTCCCTTCCAGCTCCCTGCCTGTGGCCTGGGAAAGCAGTCAAAGATGGCCCAAAGCTTTGGGACCCTGCACCTGTGTGGGAGACCTGGAAGAAGCTCCTGGCCGCTGGCTTTGTGTTGGCTCGGCTTTGGCTGTTGCTGCCATTTGGGGAGTGAAATAGTGGATGGATGATCTTTCTGTCTCTCCTCCTCTCTCTATATCTGACTTTCTAGTAAAATAAATAAATCTTAAAAAAAAAACACTTTTTTTTTTAAAAATATGCAGGGTCACTGTTGTCATTTGGGATGAGACAGTTCCTCGTTCTACTGGACTCTTCTTACCTGCCCTGGAACACTAGAAGAACATGCACCTGGTTGCCTCTCCTGCCTCCAGGTGCCTCTAGCCAAGAACCACACACACCATACTGCTGTAGTCATGACACAGGGGCGTGGAAAACAGTGCATGCATGGCACAGTCCTGTATCTTGCAGTAACAGGACCACATGTTAGGAAATGGTTATGGAAGGGTCACAAGGGGCAGGGTGAATGTGATGTACTTTTAGATTATCAAGATGTACATTGTTCATACTCATTCTTTAGAAAGTATGGTGTTCTGTTTTTGCCAAGCTGACATGTTTACACTCCAGTTAAGGCTCAGAGTGCAAATCTCTTAGATGAATTTGGGTTTGATCAAAAATATTAATTTGACACTAAGTCAAATGGGTACTTCCAAACTCTGAAATATAGGGAAATTATATCCATCACTTGTAAGAGTAACGCATTCACCTTTTTTTTTTTAAGATTTATTTTTATTATTTTTTTATTGGAAAGGCGGATATACAGACAGGAGAGACAGAGAGGAAGATCTTCCATCCAATGATTCACTCCCCAAGTGAGTGCAACGGGCCGATATTATGCCGATTTGAAGCCAGGAGCCTCTTCCGGGTCTCCCATGTGGGTGCAGGTTCCCAAAGCTTTGGGCTGTCCTCGACTGCTTTCCCAGGCCACAGGCAGGGAGCTGAAAGGGAAGCGGGGCTGCCGGGATTAGAACCGGCGCCCATATGGGATCCCAGGCGTGCAAGGCGAGGACCTTTAACCACTTGCGCCACCGCGCCGGGCCCAACGCATTCACCTTTCTCATGAAATCAGATCGGATCTGATTTGCTGTTGCTGTAGGTTTGGTTTGCTCTAAATCTCTTGTGTTGC